TAAATATTAAATTTGTACTGCATATATCATGAACGTAATACAAGCACATTATTTTACATAATTTGCACCATTTGAGCAAGCAAAAAAATATTACAAACAAGTGTATTAATGAAGTAATAGCTATTGATGCACACTGGCATACCTTTAAAACAATTGACGAAGATCATGATACATTGGGCACTCAAACATAAAGTGTAATTCAACTTCAATATCAATACTATTACAAAATTTACAAAGTATTTGCTACCTGGGTAATCCATCCTGTCTACCAGTATTTTTAAATAAAGGAAGTGCACCTATTTTTAGTAAGTAATCCTTCGTCTTGCATCTTTGGATTTTTTTATTTTCATATTTTTCATGTTTACAAACGTACAGTTCGGTTTGTCATTTACAACAGTATATACACACACAGTATACTTTCTTTTATATCTGGTGCTTTTATACCTCCATGCTCTGGTTGAGGAACTAAGACATCTCGTTTAACTTTATCGGGCTTACCCCTCCAAATGAAGTTAAGACATTTCTTCTGGAATTTTTCAAATTTGTGTTTTTGTGGATCTGGTACCGAAGAAAATATATGATATAATGTAGGGAGTGAGAGAGATTTTTAGATAGTGTTTCTGCCTAAGGGGTAAGGCTTCGGGATGACCATACGTTCGTTTGGTTTTCAATATAGGAAAAGCTGTCGCCGTAGTTTTTTGTCTACCATACTGTCAAGATCAATATCAAAGTTAATTCCCGAGAGAAACTCGTTTGGGTCCAATCAAATTTCCATTATTTGCAAAGTTTGTATCTAGATCGTTTCTTAGATCCGATCCAAATCACTTTGGTGTTTTCTACATTTACCTTTAAACCATAAAAACGCTGGAAAATGTGGAGAGTTATTTAGCGTTGCATAAAGGCGTTTTTCAGATCTGAAGACAGAGTAATATCATCAGCAAACTGAGCAAGTAGGTACTCAGTGTTTCCTAGATATATTCTTTTAATGTTTGTATTGTTTTTCATGATAATGCCTAAACTTTCTTCACAAAGTATGAATAAGTATGGGGCTATTGGGTCACCTTGGCGACAGCCGCGTCCAATTTTGAATGGATCTGAGGCGAAACCGTTCACAAGTACACGTGATTCTATACCATTATATAGAGGTTTACTCCATTGTATAATGCTTAGGCCAAAGTTGAAAAAATTTAAAACCTTTGTGAGATACTTGATAATAAGCCGGGCATTTGAAATGTTTCCGTATATTCCATCAAGTCATAAATCAATCTTGTAACATCTCCAATATATCTACCTGAAATGAAGCCTTTTTGATCCTCACTGATAATATTTGGTAGAACTCAGTTTTTAAGATACTTTTTTAGGTTTATTGCCTTTTGGAATACAAGTTATCAATCCCTGAGTTTGCGTGAGAGATTTCATTCTTACAACGAAAGTTTAGAGATTTTAGCAAAAAATCACCCAAGTCTTTCCAGAAGAATTAATTACAAATTCTGTTGTGAAACCATCTGGTCCTGGATTTTTATCATTTTTCATATCTTTAAGTGCTAATGAGGTTTCAGTCTTAGTTAAATCGCCTTCTAACGAAGAATATTCCTTATCAGATAATTTAGATATTTTGACATCATTAAAGTATTCATCAAGACTGATTGGATGTAAGGTCTTGTTGTGTGTAAAGCTTTTCGAAAAATGCTTTTGTCTCACATAGGATTTCCTCAGCTTCATTAACAATTGTTCCATCATTTTTTTTCTAACTCTATAAAGGGTTTATTTAGGAAATTTCTAGATTCTAACTTTAGAAAATATTTGGTTGGTTTCTCACCTTCTTCAATCCACTTTGCACGAGATCTTATCATCATTCCCTTAACATTTTGATCATAGATTTCATCCAACTTGGATTTTGCCTCATTAATGTCTCTCAGAATATTTTCTTTTTTGTCTAGCTGATTTGATTTGTCTAATTCTTTTCCCACATGGTCAAGTTTGGTTTGCAACTCCGTTTCCTTCGCTTTGTTTTTTTTTCTTTTTAGTGGATGAGTAATAAATAGTTTTGCATCTTATCATTAATAATAATTTTTCCCACGGTAACTGATCTTCAATCGAATATGTACTGATACCACCCTGACAATCTGTTCTGTATTGATCAAGGGTGGATTTGATGGTGTCTTTAATAAGTTCTATATATTTTTCTATCAGTTAGGAGAGAGTTATTAAATTTCCAAAAACCTTTTCCGTGTGCGATGGTTGAAAGCTTGAGCGTTAATTCAATAAATGAGTGGTCAGAGTTGATGCTTCGATGAATTTCACAAGTAACAAATGAGGGCATCAGATTCTGGGCAATACGAAAAAAACCTAGTCGTGCTTGTTTTAAAGGAGTCAGCTGGCGCCATGTACATGTTTTTGTTTCATAATTCATCTCGCTCCATGGGTCTTTGAGATCAAACATTTCAATAATTTCCGAGAGTTTACCTTTGCATTTAGGATGATTTATGTTTTTATAGCTATGTGTGTCTAGTCTTTGATTGAGAACTAAGCTCCAATCGCCACATAAACAAATCTCATCACTATCGGATTGTTTGGTTATACCTGTGATAGGTTCAAATATACCCGGCTCATCTATATTCGGACTATAAATACTGATAATTGTATAGGATATTTGACATCATTTTTAAAGCAACACGTTTCCTTCTGTATCAACAGTTGTATCTAAAACTTTGAATTCAAAATTATTATTAAACAAAATCGCTGTCCCTTGGGCGTTACTTCTTAGGCAACTTTGTATCCCCATTGTTTGTTTGATTAGCTGTTCCTGGTCTGACGTAAAGTGAACATCCTGCAGACAGTAAATATTATAATTGTTTACGGAACTATAGGAATACTTTTTTTCCTTTTTAACAATGTTGGTTATGCCCCGACAGTTTTGAGATTTTATCTCTAGCTTTGGAGTCATAGCATAACTATTTCAAGTGCATCATGGAGTTTCATAAATATATGGAAATAAAAGCTGATTGAATTATCTAAATGCGTCAAGTTGACATTCAAGATTTGTGCAGTTGTATGAAATATGCAAAACATTTGTTTAGAAATACATGCTAGGGTCATTTTGAGAATAAAATACATACAAAACATGAAAAATCACGAATTATCTGTGATTTCGACAACGAAAATGCACACTCAACATGTGTCATTAGAGTGTCTTTCACAGAAATACAGACACCCAAAAACCAAACAGAGTAGAGATATAATACATTCTGTCCTCATGATAAGAAAAACCAACCTTCCCCACGAATATCCCTCGGTCAAAAGAAAGAGTCATATTGACTAGTAATCTGCTAATGACTATATATTGGAAAATATAGGCACACTTCTATAATTTATAACTATATTTTATACATCAGTGAAAAACGATGAGTAGTTCATGCATGTATATTTCAGCATGCGCTGCTCGGGAGACTGCCACGTAAAGTGGACGAAAACATGATCAGAGCACAACATGAATGTAATAGCATATATTGAAATCGTTGGGATTATGAAACACTCAAATCGTTTGGATTATAAAGGTCAATTTCTGCCACAACAGGAAAATCTTTTCTAGGAGGTAAGACGATATATCAGTATTCTTAATTTGATTGTTGTCATGAATTCGATTTTATACTAGATGCTCCAATGTTGAAACATGCATTTCCATAGATTGTCAATATACTAAATTTTATATAATATACCGAATATACTTCATAGACGTAGTGAATCGTGCATTATCGTTAGCATACTGATATATGAATATACTTCATACACGTAGTGAATCGTGCATTGTCCTAGAATCCTAACATACTAATATACTTCATAGACGTTGTGAGACGAGCATTGCCACAGTATATATATAACATAGACGTGGCGAGACGTGCATTGTCGAAGTAGGTTCATATATATCAAATATACTTCCCAGACGTGCATTGTCATGGTATACTAATATATCAATTATATATATAATATATATACAGCATCATAGACGTGGCGAGACGTGCATTGTCGTAGTAGGTTAATATATATCAAATAAACGTCCCAGACGTGCATTGTCATGGTATACTAATATGTCAAATATATATATATATAATATATATCATAGACGTGGCGAGACGTGCATTGTCGTAGTAGATTCATATATATCACATATACTTCCCAGACGTTTTCAGACGTGCATTGTCATAGTATACTAACACACCAAATATACATCATACACGTGGGTAATCGTGTATTGTCATACTATACTAATATACCACATATACTTCACAGATGTGAGACGTGCATAATATACCACATGTACTTCACAGATGTGTGATGTGCATTGTCATAGTATACTAATATACCAAATTTACCTCATAGACGTTGTGAATCGTGCATTGTCATAGTATTCTAGTGCATCAAATATTAAGAATACAGACACCCCAAAACCATACAGAATAGAGACATAATACATTGTCTCCCCAAGATAAGGGGAAAACAGTCTCCCCCACGAATATCCCTCGGTCAAAAGAAAGCGTCATATTGACTAGTAATTTGCTAATTCTATGACTATATATTGGAAACAATAGGCACATTTCTATAATTTATATCGATTCTACATCAGTGAAAAACGATGAGCAGTTCGTGCATGTATATTTCAGCACGTCCTGTTTATGCGCTCGGGAGACTGCCACGTAACGTGGACAAAAACATGATCAGAGCAAATATGAATGTTGTAACCTGTATTCAAATAGCTTCGATTAGGAACACTCAAATCGTTTGGATCACAAAGGACAATTTCAGATGCGACAGGACAGTTTTCTTCCTTGGAGGTAAGACAGTATGTCAGCATTCTTAATGTGATTGTATGCATGAATTCGATTTTATACCAGATGCTGCAATGTGAAAACATTACATGCTATCTTTAGGTTCATATCTGTGATACTATAGTGTTTTTACTGTCCATCGTCGACAGGTTTAACTCTTCACAATGTTTTCATTTTTGTATTGTATAAATTTTTTTCGTCACGATATGGCTGAGATATTGCCGATGTGACGTAAAATATTTACTCACTCCAATGTGAAAACATGCATTTCCATAGATTGTCAACATACTTCACAGGCATTTTGAAACGTTCATTGCCATAGTGTACTACTAACATATTGATAAAAGCATCATTGATGTAGATTCCAGGATACTTATGAGCTAAATATGCATTATAAACTTGTTTAAATAGTATTGTCTCTGACTATGACTGTAGGACATATGCAGACTTGCAAATGTTTTAATACATGTCAAATATGTATAACACAGTAGAAGACATCATTGTCAAAGCATATCATAGCATACTCTTAGGATCGGGGGTGAAGTCCGAAGTTAGATTTCGTAAGGCGGGTTCATATCCCCCGTTAGCATAGTGCGTTTCTGCCAGGGGAAGGAAGTGTTCTAGTGGTCGACCCCCACTTGCCTTACGCGGGTCTGCACCTCCTGTTTGAGAATATGTCCTGCGATTTTCGATATAATATTGCCCTCTGTTTTTTTAGTTACGCGAGGAGGTCTGTGCGAATAGACAACCTTGTGCCTTTAAGAAACTTCGCAGATTTCAACACCGTGTCCCTATCCTCCATGTTAAGGAAAATTTGCGATGATCGGGGCGGGTGCGTCCGGGGTGGGGTCGTTAGGGAATGGTTTCCTGGGAAGCCTATGTACCGCTTTAAAGTAAATGTTGTCCACATCTTTGTCGCTCAGATTGAGGTTACCCTCAAAGATATTTCTGTGAACTTAAAGGCAACCTTGGCGTACACCACTGGAGGAGTTAAAGTATTCAGAAACATTTAATTGATTTAATGTATATTTTATCTATACATTATTGCTTATAGAAGTGTAATTTGTGTATTTCTGTATTTCGTAACAGTAGCCTGTACATTGAATGTATTGTCTTGTCTAATAAGTAGTCTACTAAACGAGTAACACTCAGTATATTCAGTATATTCTTCTGTTTCTCATCTCCAGCAAAAACCAGGAGTTCTGGAGGGTGAAAATAATCAAAATATGAAATATACAAAACATACTTGAAAACATAACTGATTTTATGAAATGTTAAAATTTAGATCAACATGCAAAAGTCATTGAATTAATTCGATTAAATTAAAGTCGATTTGCTTCGGAAACCTTTTCTAATAAATGCACATACAATATGAACCACGTAACCTTTACTTTTATTGGTGTGCGAGGGTAATTTCGTGTACGCCAGGGCAAACACTGCCACATCAAATTGACATCAGAAAACTTCATTGCTGCTTATAAGTTTTTGAAATGAAAATTCAGGGCGGGTAGGAGAGGGGAATGCAAGAAAAAATACAGTCGGCCTTACTCCTAGCTAGGAACAGTTGTTACTGTTTCATATCAGTAAGCTCATTCTCAAGAAATTTTTTCTCTTCTGCCTCTTCGGCCACAGAGACGTCCTCAACAACCCCACATTTAAACAGAAGAAACGCTGCGACGTAGGTAACGGCCGAGAATGCTTGGAATCCAAGGTCCATGGATTTCATTCGATACCGTAGGTTTGGAAGGTCATAAAGGGCGCATGCGCCAACTTCACCACAGTCCGTGTGCCATTGCGTACAACAGCTGTCGATGACCTTTCCATACACCACTGGCGCTGGGAGAAAACCTGAATAAAGAACAACTATTTCACACCACACTTCTCTAAAATAATGCATTTCTCTCAATAATACTAACTATCCCCTCAAAAAGGACGGATTTAGATTACAAATATAAATATAGTTCGATTGAGTTAAGATAAGTTAAGATAAATTTTATTGTCCCGCAAGGGAAATTTGTCTTGCATTCAAAGAGCCAATACAAAGCATATAACAAAAACAACATATAATTTAATATATATATATATATATATATATATTGTGTGTGTGTGTGTGTGTGTGTGTGTATATATAGACACATACACACATATATATATATATATACATAATATTATATTAGCTTGACATTGTGATGTGTGACATTGTGTGTGTGTATATATATATATATATATATATATATATATATATACATATATACATATATATATATATATATATATACACACACACAATGTCAAGCTAATCACAATATTATGGTGGATCATAATCAAAGTACATAATATAATAATCACTCGTGCCACATCATTAATTTCACTATTACAATTTTGGTGGAAGATTAGAAGTTTTATGCTGTATGGGACAAATGATTTTGAAGTTCTAATAGTTTTGTAATACATGATTTTGAAACGGCGGCCAGAAGGCAGAAAGTCATAACATTCATTTAAAAGGTGTGATGGATCCGACTGAATGGCCAGAGTTTTCTTTTTAACTTTTGACGCATACTGAAAAGGTAGAGGTTCGAAATTGAAGCCGCAAATTTTGCTGGATATGTTTACAATTTTGTCAAGTTTGTTTTTCTGTGTAAGAGGAAGATTGCCATACCATACATGAAAACAAAAAGTTAAAATACTATTGATGAATGTTTGGTAGAATAATTTTAAGATAGTAGTGTCTACATTAAATGATCGCAACTTTCGCAGAAAGAAAATTCTCTGTTGTGCTTTCCTATGTACACGATGTGAATTTGATTTCCATGAAAGTTTATTATCAATGATAATACCCCTATTATCAATGATAATACAGTGATATTTATACTGTTCTACTGTTTCTACTTCCATATGTCCATCAATAAAAACAGGTTCCAGTCTGTCCTTTTTGCTTCAGAAGTCAATTATCATTTCCTTTGTTTTGTTTATGTTCAGGGAGAAGAAATTGTCTTTGCATGAAGTAAACGCATCAATATTTTTCTCCAATTGACGAATAAACCCAACCAAAGCGGCATCATCAGCAAATTTGAAATTCAAACAGGTAGATAAATGAGATAAACAGTCATTGTATAGAGTGTGAAGAGGACATGGGACAGGACATATATCCCCATATATGGTTAAAGGGCCACTGATCCAGAGCGATTAATGTTTCGCGCAAACAATCCACATTTAATTACGTCAGGTGGAGCAGCCGATGCTCCCTCGACCCTGACGGACACGGGGACTGGGCAGCTGTACACCTTTGCAGAATTTCTTCAACTTAACAGTTGGACAAAAAGAGCGGAGGATGCCCAACAGATGCCGTTATTTGAAAATATCCTCAAAAATGAAGTTCCCTTCGTATCCTCAAAAACAGCATCGACCGACAGTTTTTAGACAATTAAAATTGCATGCACAGCGATTACTTCTCCCTTGCTGTAACCCGTGTTTGGTGGTATAAACCTACACCTGTTTATTTTTCACCATTCACTTGATGGTCAGTTCATGAATTTATAACAGGTATAATTAGTAGTAACACAACTAGATTACCCGACAAATGTTCCCATTTAGCATTTCCCTTGTCTGGAATCAAAGTCTAGTCAAAGTCAGAGCGTTTATATACAAATCACAATTACAATATGTAAACATATTCATTCTGTCATAATCATTCATTCAATTATTTAAATGGATATTAACATTCAGTATGTTGGTAGAATAATGATACAAAAGAATGCCTTAGTTTCAATGGGTGATGAACATACAATGCAAGATCAGACAAAATTGCTTCATTTTTTGTAGCTAAGAGATTAGCGAAAACGGTATAATTGACATGATTAGGACAATAATGTTCGCCAAGGTATTTAAATCGTAGTAACAAAGGTTGGCCACACAAATATATACTGAGTCAAAAAAGAAACTTCACAAAATGTAATTTGAAAAATAATGAATAATTTTTCTCTGATGATACATCTATGTATCCGAAATGGGATCCCTATCTTTCGACTCTAGAAAACGCTAGCAAAACCCACTCAAACCCATCCATTCGTCGTGCAAATGACGTTAGTGCCAAATCAGGTTTTGCACGTGCAGTCGATAACGTGATCTTCGCATCGAAGTTTTCTTCATATGAACGTGTTTGCATTGGCCTCAAGAATTGAAAAAAACACTTTTAAACCACAGTTCTAACGGTACTTGAAATGCCACGATTGTCAAATGTGCAACGTGAACGTGCCGTTGGCATGTTGCAAGCGGGAAGATCAGTTATTGACGTCGCAAGAGCAATGGGATGCAGCCGTCGTACTGTGTATGACTTGCGAGGTCGTCTACAACAAACTGGCACCACTTCTGATCGCACAAGGTCGGGTCGTCCACGTGTGACGTCACGAGCAGAAGACCGTCAAATCGTCCTACGTCACCTACGTGACAGATTTCTGCCGGCTACACGAACCAGGGCTGAGATGTTTAGAGGTCGACTGTCCTCACAGACCATTCGAAATCGGTTGCGGGCTGCCAATCTCCATTCTCGACGTCCATATCGTGAGCCAATATTGACGCCGTTTCATCAACGTCAACGTCTGCTGTGGGCCCAACGTCACCTCCGATGGACCCAGAGACTGGAATCGAGTCGTCTTTAGCGATGAATCCAGGTTTACCCTCAGATTTGCGGACGGCAGGCATAGAGTCTGGAGACGACGCCGTGAACGGTATGCCCAATGTTGTGTACAGGAAGTCGACAGATTCGGGGGCGGAAGTTGCATGGTTTGGGGTGCTTTCTGTGGGAACAACCGTTCCCGACTTCTGGTCATCCGTGGAAACCTCACAGCTGCTGCTTACCGCGACCAGGTGCTCACCCCTGAACTCGTTCCTTTCATGGCGGCTCATGGCCCAGGTCTACAGTTCCAGCATGATAATGCTCGGCCGCATACCGCGATGTTGACACGAAATTTCCTTCAAAACGCTGGAATCAACGTCATGGACTGGCCATCGAGGTCCCCTGACCTTAATCCAATAGAGCACGTTTGGGATGCACTTGGGAGAAGGCTTCGTGGTCTTAGGAACCAACCTCAGAATTTGCAGGAACTTGGCGCTGCCTTGCAAGAGCAATGGCGCAGAATCCCCAACCACGTGTTCACACGCATCAGGCAGTCGATGAGGAGACGGTGTTTGACAGTGGTGAATGCGCGGGGCGGCCATACACGATATTGAACTGAGAAATTTCGCATTTTTATTCTTGTGACTTGACATTCTGTATACCCATGTTTTGGAACGGCGGTGTAGCCTAATGGAACTGATTATGGCACTGTCAGTGTATCGATAACATCACACAGATCTCAGCAATGAAATAATAACACTTTAACCATCTTACCATCTCTTGTTCTTTTATAGTGCCCTGAAGAAAGAATGTGAAGTTTCTTTTTTGACTCAGTATATAATGGACTTCATCTTGAATTCCAGAGCTACACAAAGGGCATAATCGTAAAATTTTCCAAACCATGTTTTCTATCTTAATTGATCATTAGATTTGTAAGACCTAGTCTAAATCGTACAACTGTATTTCTAATATTTTTAGCTTGCAGACAGGATAAATATTTTTCAGATTCTAAGGTTTCATAAAATAGATGACACAGGAGGCATAACATAAATCCTCTTACAAGCTGGTAAGTGTACCTTTTCTATAACATCTAATCTAATGTACCCCCAAAATTTCTGAACAATAAGTAAGAATAGTCTGGACTTGTGTATCGAATATGTTAAAAAACAAATGGGGTGGCACCATCCCTAATTTAAGCAGATTTCTTTACATTCATTGTACTGTTAAAGATCAAACCATGACATTTATAATCTTTAGCTACATGTATAGAAATGCTTTGAGTAAGTAAATACTCACCATTATGAATAAAGGTCTGATGTGGCAAATGTATTTCATGTTATGTATACTATTCACACGTTGCTAAGGATCAAATCATGGATTCAACAGAAAACTGTGATGTGGGGTCAAATTGGATATAAAATATCCATTAGATTGCAACCATTGATCCTAGGTTTCAGTGTGTCATTTCATCTTGTGGATCCCATACCTGCTATTGACAGGTGCTGTGTACTTGTCAATGACTCGTTCCATGATTTGCAAAATGGTTGTTTGGTGCAATGAAAACCATTTTTATGGTTACTTATGTATCAAGTGCATAAGGTTAGATTAAAGTGATTGTTTGCCTAAAGAGGGGTTACCATATTAGTATTTATCCGGTTTAAATGGATACAATTGCAAATTATGAATCTACGTTTAAGTAAATTTTGTGAATTTGTGTGATCCTTATCAAAGTGTGAGTAGTATAATCAAAGGATTAACCGATAACAAGCTGATTGATACTTTGCGGATTTGTTGAGTGTTTCGGAGTGTAGATACTACATTGAATGAACCCTTGTCTTAAGCTGTAAAAACAATTTTTTTAACGATACGTTGATTGATTACTCGTTGTTGTTTTAACTGAATTATTTTTACAAGAAAGGTTGACGTCATGGGAATAGTTGCCAGGTACTTTCTTAGGTGAGCAATGAAGCTATACACCAATGTGAAATACATGTACCTGAAACTGTCACGTGACCTGTTGAAAAACTATCACTTTACGTATATATGTATATTAAGTGGTGAGATTGCCGAGTGTACAGTAGTACATATATAAGAAGACATTTCTGGAATAATTACACGACACGGATGTTTTTACATATTACACAGTTAAATGACAAATGGCAGGTTTCTTTGTCAGCTGCAAATGAATGGCATCGTCGCATTCTTTAACCCCTTAATAGTGGATATAATGGATGCATTCTTCGAACAAGGAAATATAATCTTTAAAATGTCTTCATATTACAGTTATGTTATAAATTCACAGAAGAAGTTAAACTTCAAATTGTGTCCAGTTGTTTTCACACTCTAGAAGATGGAAACATTAATACTTGATGATCAATGTAAGGATATACATATTATACCTATACTTTCAATTGCGCTTGCGGATGGCGCAGCAGGGATCGCAACCCACTCAAGAATCCTGGGATATCATCCGGGTAGTCGGAAAAACAATACCGAAAGCAACACCCAGTACCAGGGAATTGCTCTGGATCAGTGTCCCTTTAAAGCAACGTTGCATTAAATCGACTCTCGCGCCATGTACGTCGGCCGAACATTTTTCTAATATTTTTAGCTTGCAGACAGGATAAATATTTTTCAGATTCTAAGGTTTCATAAAATAGATGACACAGGAGGCATAACATAAATCCTCTTACAAGCTGGTAAGTGTACCTTTTCTATAACATCTAATCTAATGTACCCCCAAAATTTCTGAACAATAAGTAAGAATAGTCTGGACTTGTGTATCGAATATGTTAAAAAACAAATGGGGTGGCACCATCCCTAATTTAAGCAGATTTCTTTACATTCATTGTACTGTTAAAGATCAAACCATGACATTTATAATCTTTAGCTACATGAATAGAAATGCTTTGAGTAAGTAAATACTCACCATTATGAATTAAGGTCTGATGTGGCAAATGTATTTCATGTTATGTATACTATTCACACGTTGCTAAGGATCAAATCATGGATTCAACAGAAAACTGTGATGTGGGGTCAAATTGGATATAAAATATCTATTAGATTGCAAGCATTGATCCTAGGTTTCAGTGTGTCATTTCATCTTGCGGATCCCATACCTGCTATTGACAGGTGCTGTGTACTTGTCAATGACTCGTTCCATGATTTGCAAAATGGTTGTTTGGTGCAATGAAAACCATTTTTATGGTTACTCATGTATCAAGTGCATAAGGTTAGATTAAAGTGATTGTTTGCCTAAAGAGGGGTTACCATATTAGTATTTATCCGGTTTTAAATGGACACAATTTCAAATTATGAATCTACGTTTAAGTAAATTTTGTGAATTTGTGTGATCCTTATCAAAGTGTGAGTAGTATAATCAAAGGATTAACCGTCGATACGTTGATTGATTACTCATTGTTGTCTTAACTGAATTATTTTTTACAAGAAAGGTGGAAGTCATGCGAATAGTTGCCAGGTGCTTTCTTGGGTGAGCAATGAAGCTATACACCAATGTGAAATACATGTACCTGAAACTGTCACGTGACCTGTTGAAAAACTATCACTTACGTATATATGTATATTAAGTGGTGAGATTGCCGAGTGTACAGTAGTACATATATAAGAAGACATTTCAGGAATAATTACACGACACGGATGTTTTTTACATATTACACAGTTAAATGACAAATGGCAGGTTTCTTTGTCAGCTGCAAATGAATGGCATGTCGTTCCTTAATGTGGATATAATGGATGCATTCTTCGAACAAGGAAATATAATCTTTAAAATGTCTTCATATTACAGTTATGTTATAAATTCACAGAAGAAGTTAAACTTCAAATTGTGTCCAGTTGTTTTCACACTCTAGAAGATGGAAACATTAATACTTGTTGATCAATGTAAGGATATACATATTATACCTATACTTTCAATTGCGCTTGCGGATGGCGCAGCAGGGATCGCAACCCACTCAAGAATCCTGGGATATCATCCGGGTAGTCGGAAAAACAATACCGAAAGCAACACCCAGTACCAGGGAATTGCTCTGGATCAGTGTCCCTTTAAAGCAACGTTGCATTAAATCGACTCTCGCGCCATGTACGTCGGCCGAACATTTTTCTAATATTTTTAGCTTGCAGACAGGATAAATATTTTTCAGATTCTAAGGTTTCATAAAATAGATGACACAGGAGGCATAACATAAATCCTCTTACAAGCTGGTAAGTGTACCTTTTCTATAACATCTAATCTAATGTACCCCCAAAATTTCTGAACAATAAGTAAGAATAGTCTGGACTTGTGTATCGAATATGTTAAAAAACAAATGGGGCGGCACCATCCCTAATTTAAGCAGATTTCTTTACATTCATCAGATCAAACCAAGACATTTATAATCTTTAGCTACATGTATAGAAATGCTTTGAGTAAGTAAATACTCACCATTATGAATTAAGGTCTGATGTGGCAAATGTATTTCATGTTATGTATACTATTCACACGTTGCTAAGGATCAAATCATGGATTGAACAGAAAACTGTGATGTGGGGTCAAATTGGATATAAAATATCTATTAGATTGCAACCATTGATCCTAGGTTTCAGTGTGTCATTTCATCTTGTGGATCCCATACCTGCTATTGACAGGTGCTGTGTACTTGTCAATGACTCGTTCCATGATTTGCAAAATGGTTGTTTGGTGCAATGAAAACCATTTTTATGGTTACTTATGTATCAAGTGCATAAGGTTAGATTAAAGTGATTGTTTGCCTAAAGAGGGGTTACCATATTAGTATTTATCCGGTTTAAATGGATACAATTGCAAATTATGAATCTACGTTTAAGTAAATTTTGTGAATTTGTGTGATCCTTATCAAAGTGTGAGTAGTATAATCAAAGGATTAACCGATAACAAGCTGATTGATTAATTACTTTTACCTTACTTTGCGGATTTGTCAATAGGTAGTGTTTTGGAGTGTAGATACTTACACTGAATGAACCCTCATTCTGTCGTAAACAGCTTGTGTAAAAACAACGTCTTTTTCCAAAGAATTAACCGTCGATACGTTGATTGATTACTCATTGTTGTCTTAACTGAATTATTTTTTACAAGAAAGGTGGACGTCATGCGAATAGTTGCCAGGTGCTTTCTTGGGTGAGCAATGAAGCTATACACCAATGTGAAATACCTGAAACTGTCACGTGACCTGTTGAAAAACTATCACTTACGTATATATGTATATTAAGTGTTGAGATTGCCGAGTGTACAGTAGTACATATATAAGAAGACATTTCTGGAATAATTACACGACACGGATGTTTTTTACATATTACACAGTTAAATGACAAATGGCAGGTTTCTTTGTCAGCTGCAAATGAATGGCATATCGTTCCTTAATGTGGATATTGATGGATGCATTCTTCGAACAAGGAAATAACCCGATATTATTGCTGTAACATTAGTCTGTTTTAATTTTAATATTTGTATGTTGTATTTATTCATTTGTTGTAACATTCAGCAGAATCAATCCACTTCATTGTTTTAGTTCGATGAGACAGACAACATACTCCAGGTCGCACTTAGGGCGCATGTGTGAAATATGATCTACATTTGCAATCTATAAAATGTCTTCATATTACAGTTATGTTATAAATTCACAGAAGAAGTTTAACTTCAAATTGTGTCCAGTTGTTTTCACACTCTAGAAGATGGAAACATTAATCCTTGTAGATCAATGTAAGGATATACATATTATACCTATACTTTCAATTGCGCTTGCGGATGGCGCAGCAGGGATCGCAACCCACTTCAAGAATCCTGGGATATCATCCGGGTAGTCGGAAAAACAATACCAAAAGCAACACCCAGTACCAGGGAATTGCTCTGGATCAGTGTCCCTTTAAAGCAACGTTGCATTAAATCGACTCTCGCGCCATGTACGTCGGCCGAACATTATTTGAAACGAAAATTTTGTCGAAAATGTGTGAAATTGTGCCTTTAAATGGCATATAAAGGCAACGGTGTTTACAAACGTCGTCACGTTTGTAATAAAGCACATAATTATGTGATTGTAACCTCCACTGTTACCTCACCACTGAATAACCGCCATATTGCGGTCATTGAGGCGTTCTATAATTTGATAAAACTGGGTCGGTGTTTACTGAACTATTTAGATAACATATCAGGACAAAGGAGTTCCCATGCGTCGTCACTTTCGTAATAAATCAAACAATCATGTGACTGAAACGATACATCTCATAGAATTCAATCCAATTTCATACAGAGATATGATAGATAAAAACAGTATACTGTGTCGTACTATGTCATGTTTCAACCAGCGATTTGTTGCAGTTCACATACCTAACAACCCATTGAGGAATGACGTCATGGCGACGACCATGGGTTTATCACGCGGTTCAACCATCCTGAAAATGAAGTAACGAATATGTGAAACTGTAAAGCCCAGTTGAAATGCCATGTAGAAATGTCATGTTGAATAAAGTACAATTTGTAATCAAATTTGCATACAATACCAACTCTTTCAACATTGTAAATGAACCATCCTTAGCCTGCAATATTTCAATTCTCACAAGCACAGTGTTTGCTTGACAGTTGCAGTATTCTGGTATACAGTGGGTGTAAATGATCGTGTCTGGGCCAGGCAATCCACTCATGGATATTATTTATAAGCATCGTTCTACGCCTCTGGGGTACGACGACATGCATTGAAATTTCTAAATCTGACCACTTGCGCTTGTAATTCAACGGGATTTTCTCGGGTGTATACGATAGAGTGAAACTACCTCAAATATTATACTATGACTCAGGTTTGCCTTTAGGGTGAACCTCAAGTGGTGACTCACTGTTTTGTCCTGTTGAAGCTATTAAACCCATTCCCTTAGAATGATAAACTCACACACGCACGCACACGCACATGCACGCATACCTACTTGAGCATGGTCATGAGTACAGGAATGAGAGAGACACTGCCTGCCATTCCAGCCACCAGGTCAACGATGACGTAGGGGTAAAGGTAGGGACAGTCTGTGGGACACCTGCCCGCTGTGCCCTCGCCACCAGGAATCTCGCTGCATCCAGTGAATGTCTGAAATGTTTAATAAAAAGCTACAGACCTGCAAAGTTTCTACGGGGATGCCGTAAGTGAATCTGCAAATATATCTCTAACAGTACATAATTTGGCTGGTTTGTTTCCTGTTTAACGCCGCAATATTCCAGCTATATGGCGGCGGTCTGTAAATAATCGAGTCTGGACCAGACAATCCAGTGATCAACATCATGAACATTGAAGTGCTCCAATTATAAATGATATTATTATTGCCCAGAACATCTCATGGTTAAAGGATTTTATGCCAGCAATTGTAAATGGAAGACACTAGTTGATAACTGCATACTAAATCACAACAGACTATGGTTAGCCAACCCTGAATACATACTAAAAAGTAAGAAATATATTGTCCCTAGCATAAGAAATACTTTTTGGAAAGATGTAGATATCGCATATCCCTCACATTTTAAAGAAACAGTACAAGACACTAAATGCAACGGATTTCCTAAATCAATCTCTTATAATAATTCCTTATTTAAAGTGGGTAACGAAACAGTTTTATTCAAAAATTGGTACAATGCAGGGATACACTTTGTTTATGATTTGATCAACCCAAATACAGGTGAATTTTACACATGATGAATTGCAGGAGGTTTTTAACATTAAGTTAAATGTCCTTAGATCTCAAAGCATGAAATCAGCCGTTAAAGCATGCACGAAGAAACATCATAATTTTCACTTAAGACCCCTTGGGAGTGGGAGAGGGAGAGCCTTTTTAAAAGAAAATATGATAGTGAAATGATAAATTTTTTTATATAATACATGATGGGAAAATGATGTACCAGAAGTAACCTAAAATGGTTACAGATGAAAATACTATATAATATCATGCCGACAAATAAGTTTTTACATAGAATTGGTTTTAAAGAAACTGCTTTGTGCACCTTTTGTTTAAATGAACCAGAAGCAATAAGTGTTCACCTTTTCAGTAAATATAGCTATATAAAAAGAAATATGGAGTGATCTAACCAGATGGCTTACAACTGTAGCAGAAGGTAACATTGAATTTAACTCAGAAAATATCATGCTTGGATTTAAAGGAAGAAATGCTAATTCATTAAATACCATATGTCTTGTTAAACAAGTCATATATACCCAAAAGTTAGAAGAAACAATTCCAAATTTCAAGCATGTACAAAGGGAGATAAGCAGATACTCTGAAGTAACAAAATATAGTGCCTTTTCAACATGTATAAATGATAGGTTTAATGCGTTCTGTTCATCATTCCATAATCTATCAAGACAGCCTGATAGTTTCAAAGTTATATTTATGACGCGTTGTAATCTGATCCACCCACACAAATCTTTCAAGTATATTCCATGTCGAACAATAGTATATCTTCTGATATTTATCAAGATAATGAAATATGTAAATCATGTCATCTAGGTCAGTATTAGTATTCGTTGATACAAGTAATACAATTGGGTGTACTATCTTCTAATATTTTATTAGTATTGATACGTGCAAATCAAGGCATCTAGGTCGGTATTAGTATATGTGGATACAAGTGATACAACTGGGTATAACATCTTCTGTTATTTATTAAGTAATGATACGTGCAAATCATGGCATCTAGGTCAGTATTACCTTTCATTGTTACAAGTTATACAATTTGCGTAATACCTGCTGATATTTATTGAGATAAAGATATGTATAGATCATGTCATTGATACAATTAATACAATTAGGTATTATACTTCCATTAATATTCATTCAAATTTATACTTTCGACAATGTATGGAGAACGTTGTGTATATAACATGTTTAATATGAAGTGGAAATTGATGTTTGTACTTTCGACAATATCGAAAAATTAATACCCCACTCAGACACATTATACTGACTCCGAGCCGACGAGTCCTTGTTGTACCCATTAATGCCGAGCGCCAGGCAGGGACCAACAAGTACCATATTTTAACGTCTTTTGATATGACGCGACCGGGGATCTGACCCGCGACCTTCCGCTCTCCGGGCGGACGCTCTAACTACTCCACCATCGAGGCGGTCATTCCAGATCTTGACCAAGCAACAACACTACATAGTCATCTCATGGTGACCTCTCCTCTATATCTTGACCAAGCAACAACAATTATATATTTATAGTACTACATAGTCATCTCATGGTGACCTCTCATCCAGATTTTGACCAAGCAACAACACATAGTTACTCATGGTGGCCTCTCCTCCAGATCTTGACCAAGCAACAACACTACATAGTCATCTGATGGTGACTTCTCCTCCAGATTTTGACCAAGCAACAATACTACATAGTCATGTCATGGTGACCTCTCCTCTATATCTTGACCAAGCAACAACAATTATATATTTATAGTACTACATAGTCATCTCATGGTGACCTCTCATCCAGATTTTGACCAAGCAACAACACATAGTTACTCATGGTGGCCTCTCCTCCAGATCTTGACCAAGCAACAACACTACATAGTCATCTGATGGTGACCTCTACTCCAGATTTTGACCAAGCAACAATACTACATAGTCATGTCATGGTGACCTCTCATCCAGATTTTGACCAAGCAACAATACTACATAGTCATCTCATGGTGACCTCTCCTCCATATCTTGACCAAGCAGCAACACTACATAGTCATCTCATGGTGACCTCTCCTCCAGATTTTGACCAAGCAACAATACTACATAGTCATCTCATGGTGACCTCTCCTCCAGATCTTGACCAAGCAACAACACTACATAGTCATCTCATGGTGACCTCTCCTCCAGATCTTGACCAAGCAACAACACTACATAGTCATCTCATGGTGACCTCTCCTCCATATCTTGACCAAGCAACAATACTACATAGTCATCTCATGGTGACCTCTCCTCCAGATTTTGACCAAGCAACAACACTACATAGTCATCTCATGGTGACCTCTCCTCCAGATCTTGACCAAGCAACAACACTACATAGTCATCTCATGGTGACCTCTCCTCCAGATCTTGACCAAGCAACAACAATAGTACTACATAGTCATCTCATGGTGACCTCTAATCCAGATTTTGACCAAGCAACAACACATAGTTACTCATGGTGGCCTCTCCTCCAGATCTTGACCAAGCAACAACACTACATAGTCATCTCATGGTGACCTCTCCTCTATATCTTAACCAAGCAACAACAATAGTACTACATAGTCATCTCATGGTGACCTCTCATCCAGATTTTGACCAAGCAACAACACATAGATCTTGACAAAGCAACAACTACATAGTCATCTCATGGTGACTCTCCTCTAGATCTTGACCAAGCAACAACACTACACTACATAGTCATCTCATGGTCTCATCCAGGTGACCTCTCCTCTATATCTTGGACCAATCTTGAACAAACAACAACACTACATAGTCATCTCATGGTGACCTCTCATCCAGATTTTGACCAAGCAACAACACATAGTTACTCATGGTGGCCTCTCCTCCAGATCTTGATCTTGACTAAGCAACAACACTACATAGTCATCTCATGGTGACCTCTCCTCCAGATCTTGACCAAGCAACAACACTACACATAGTCATCTCATGGTGACCTCTCCTCTCCAGATCTTGACCAAGCAACAACACTACATAGTCATCTCATGGTGACCTCTCCTCCAGATTTTGACCAAGCAAGCAACAACACATAGTGACTACAACAACACTACATAGTCATGGTGACCTCTCCTCCAGATCTTGACCAAGCAACAACACTACATAGTCATCTCATGGTGACCTCTCCTCCATATCTTGACCAAGCAACAACATAGTACTACATAGTCATCATCTCATGGTGACCTCTCATAGTTACTCATGGTGGCCTCTCCTATCTTGACCAAGCAACAACACTACATAGTCATCTCATGGTGACCTCTCCTCCATATCTTGACCAAGCAACAACACTACATAGTCATCTCATGGTGACCTCTCCTCCATATCTTGACCAAGCAACAACACTACATAGTCATCTCATGGTGACCTCTCCTCCATATCTTGACCAAGCAACAGCACTACATAGTCATCTCATGGTGACCTCTCCTCCATATCATCTCATGGTGACCAATTTTGACCAAGCAACAATACATAGTCATCTCATGGTGACCTCTCCTCCATATCTTGACCAAGCAACAACACTACATAGTCATCTCATGGTGACCTCTCCTCCAGATCTTGACCAAGCAACAACACTACATAGTCATCTCATGGTGACCTCTCCTCCAGATCTTGACCAAGCAACACTACATGACCTCTCCTCATCTCATGGTGACCTCTCATCTCAGTGACCATCTCATGGTGATCTCATGGCGACCTCTCCTCCAGATCTTAACCAAGCAACAATATTACATAGTCATCTCATGGTAACCTCTCCTCCATATCTTGACTAAGCAGCAACACTACATAGTCATCTCATGGTGACCTCTCCTCCAGATCTTGACCAAGCAACAACACTAGTACTACATAGTCATCTGATGGTGACTTCTCCTCCAGATTTTGACCAAGCAACAATACTACATAGTCATCTCATGGTGACCTCTCCTCCAGATTTTGACCAAGCAACAATACTACATAGTCATCTCATGGTGACCTCTCCTCCATATCTTGACCAAGCAGCAACACTACATAGTCATCTCATGGTGACCTCTCCTCAAGATTTTGACCAAGCAACAATACTACATAGTCATCTCATGGTGACCTCTCCTCCATATCTTGACTAAGCAGCAACACTACATAGTCATCTCATGGTGACCTCTCCTCCAGATTTTGACCAAGCAACAACACTACATAGTCATCTCATGGTGACTTCTCCTCCTGATCTTGAGGTGAGGTGAGGTGAAATGGGGTTTAACGGCGTACTTAAGAATATTTCGCTCATATGATGACGTGCATGCGTGTGTATATGTTGCAGCTTGTACTAGCCCAGACTTAAGCTGGTTTTATAGTGCTAGCTCACTGAGGTACCATGCTGTAGTTAAGCATGAATACCCCATGCGCAACTGGGATACGATAACATGTGTCAATCAAGTCAGCGAGCTTGACCACCCGATCCCGTTTGTCGCCTTTTACATAAGCATGTGCTACTAAAGATAAATTCTAATCCAGATCCTCACGGGCCTAGTGTATAAGTGATAACAACCTACAAACGTTGTTCAACATTAGAACATCACTATGTTGTAGATACTATGTTAAGTCTGTGTAAAATGTAGATAATATTCCATATAGTCGTAAAACGAACTATAACAAGTCAACGACAGAGAATAATCAATTTCGCTTCCACAGCTTTAACAGAGATTCCAGTTGTCACATAGGAATAGCATCCAAAACAACTGATATTCTGTGACTCAGAGATAGGGATACACACCGTTCCATTCTGAGACTTGCATCCAGCCATACAGGGACTGATGTACGTCTCGCCGTCAGCTCCACACAGTGGCATGAATTCATCGGCGTCACACCCACAGTCGGTAGTGCTGGTCATGTTATGCCTAGAGAACGTAGTTTTGTCAAACTGAACATGGGTATAACGTTATATTTCCTAAATGAAGAAAGAAGGTAAGACATGGCGACCTGGACAAATTCATATTTTAAATAGTCAGTGGTTAACGTGCTCCGGTCTAGCGGGGTAATTTGTTCCTGAATGTGCTATTGAAATGTATAAATCTGCGGCTTCATTTTGATATTGCAGCAGTGGTTGTGTGATTCATACACATGTGACTCACATACCCTCACCTGCCCACTGATGCACATATGCGTTGTACAGCTCACCTTCACACCTACACCCATCTGCCCGCCAATGCCTACATGCGTTGGACAATTCGCCTGCCCATTCGTGCAGACATGCGTGGTACAACTCACCTACACTCACCTGTCCACCGATGAAAAGATGTGCTCTACTACTCACCTGCCCAATGATGCATAGATGCGTTGTAAAACTCACCTACACGTACCTGCCGATTGAAGCAGAGACGCATTGTACAAGTCACCTACACTCGTCCGCCCACTGATGAAGAGATGCGCTGTGCAACTCACCTACACTCACCTGTTCACTGATGCAAAGATGCGTTGTACAACTCGCCTACACTCATCTACCCATTGATGCATAGATGCATTGTAAAACTCACCTACACTCACCTGTCCATTGATGTGCATAGATGCATTGTACAATTCACACACTCACCTGCCCTACAGATGCATTGTACAACCACGTACACTCACCTGTCCACTGATGCAAAGATGCGTTGTACAACTCGCCTACACTCATCTACCCATTGATGCATAGATGCATTGTACAACTCACCTACACTCACCTGTCCATTGATGTATAGACACGTACAACTCACCTTCACTCAGCAGTCCTTTTGATTTATAGACTTTTGTACAACTAATCTACACTCATCAGCCCCTTAAAATATAGACACGCCACCTCCCACCAAACCACTTGGTACACAGACCAACTGAATGCCTCATCTAGTCTCCCTAGGTCCATGGTGCTTGACTCACCTACTGTCACCCAGTCCCTTGATGCTGGGATTAGGACATCCAAATAGCAGAGTGAGAGAAAAGCAGGAAGACGCGACCAGTGCTACCATCATGGTCAGTTTCATACAACCCCTGTTGGTCAGCTTGAGTTTGCTGGTAAGAATACCACCGAGTAAAATGCCTACAGTCGCCCAGAGAAATTCTTCCAAACCTACAACATGGGATTACACATACTGAAACAGTCGAAATGAATGACAAATAATTTGGGCAGTACATCGTGAAACACACTCAATAGGATTCGAACCCTTTCGACGACGTCACTGTATTCGGCCCTCTCATGTCTATATACCAAGAACAACTTAATGTTATACTTGTATCCATCTGACAAAATAATACGAACATTCAAAATGTGCGAATTTACCATATTTTAATAAGGACATAGAATGTGTCACAAGTGAGAAAGATTTTGGAGTTAGTAAACCAGAAAGGTCTTGAAATGGCAACTTTTTCTTACCCGCTATAAAGTTGGCTTTCGAAGCCTGTATCATAAACTGGTTCTCAAAGTATTTGGGGGCGAATGCCATGTTTCCCCCCACGAAGAAGATCACGCTGCAGTTTGCCAGCAACAGACAAGCAACCACCGGGTTCCGCACTATTCGCACCACCGATTTGGGTAAATCTACAAGTACAGAAGATGATTCTCATTGTTGTGTAACCTACTGTGACCGTCCAATGATCGACGTGAAAAGCTTTCTGTCAGCCATGGTTACCCCATCCTCACTGTAAAACCGCATTACAGAGTTGAGTTTTCGTTAACACGTCTTCAGGTAGGACCAAGACGTCTAGGGTGATATCATCTGGGAACTTTACACTTGATACTTATATCCTATATTTATCATCCAAAACTGACTCCCACAGTAGATATCGCAAGGGATATCTATATTGTAGATATCGCAACAATTGAATTGTCATAGTGCTATTACATCGCCAGTTAATGACCTCACAATGCTTTGACCAATAAGAACACAGCTGACACAGCAATGACGTCACACAGTTGATGAGTTCACAATTTTATGACTTACACTGGGATCACTGCTCAAGAAACCTAATGGCAGTTATGTGTTCAGATAATTTCATCCTTTTACTAATAACTGATGAAGAATGAGTTTGGATAATAAATACAATCAAACCCTCGTGTATTCTGATATCAAATCTATCAACACTCGTTAATTAAAGTCAAAATAACTTTGTAACATTAATCAACTCGCGTTGATATATCTGATATAAGAAGACTCGAATGTGAGATTCTCTATATGTCCACAGATCACTGAGATGAGCTGAATGAAGCTGAGCATCCAGAACGGATGTTGTTCCTCTAATGGTCCTGGACATCAACGATTTGTGTTTGACATTGTTATATCTGTTTATCACAGACTCTTACGCATTTAGTATACTGGCTGCAGTACGTCGGCTTGTTCAAGCTAAAGCAGAACGTCGATGCAGTATTGGACACCAAACAATAATCCGAGGTGTAATGCAAACAACTGTGTCATTAAGGTCGGTCCATTTAATTATCAATATTCAATAAACGTCTAATAATCTGAAATACATCTCCTACACGTGCGAAGCCATTCATGTGACGCATATAAATATGAATCATACTTGATTTTATCATTTAAAGTTATAATGGTATAAAAAGTTGGAAAACCGCATAATAGAAACTCAAAACACCAGAGCCCACTTGCACAAACAATTGGCGCTACAATTAGTGTAACTCCCATTCTCAAACATAGGCTTTAAGATAGTCGTAGCGCTAAGACCGCCTTGTGCAAGTGGGCCCAGAACCTCACAACGTCAACCTCAGCGGCATTTCAACGATTTGCATGTGCTTTCTGCAATCGACCTGCAATATCTTGAACCATCAATAGTTATTTCCATAAGCCTAAATTGATTATGGTGTGATTAAGATATGTAACCAGTGATTCAGTGATAACGGAAAGGTATTTCGCATACCTGACAGCTCTTCCTTAAGGGTGTGGCTATCGACGTTTACGGGTCTTTTGGTGAGTTTCTTCATGCGCTTTGGAAAGCAGCCTAAGAGAGCAGCGAAAAGGAGAGATACACATCCAAAGATCAGGAACCCAATCCACCATGCCCCGACCCATTGTGGGTGAAGAGGATCCATCCGGGTATCTTCAAAACAAATAGTATAATATAAGGATTAGACGGATATGCTTAATAACGACTGCTGATACCAGTGAAGATCCGGGTTAAATTTGGTCTCTATCAACCCATGCTTTACGCTTGAGGAGATTAACGGCATCGGGTGGTGACCTTTTTGACACATTCCATTGTATCCCAGACTCGATTATGTATGACCGTCATGTACAGAGTTGTGCAAAACGTTTTCGGACACTTGACGTAATGTCCATAGACTTACATGGTAATTTAGTGTAGCATAAATAATTTTCATGAATTTTATTTTCGTAAGATCCAAGTCAAATTTTGCACATTTGTGAGGAATCATCTTACCTACAATCACATAATTTCTGTTTAATTTTCCGTTTCTTATTTGTCGAATGGCAACAATGTAATCAAGATATGTACAGTGCCGTGAACTCCTTTAACATGGCGGCCTATGGGATTGTGCACTGTGGAACCACACGTAAGTTCATAAATGTGATGTCATTAGTTAAATAGTGGTCGGAAAATTGAACTGAAAGTATGTGCGCAGAGCAGAGATGATTTCAAGTTTGCCTGTCAAATTTTACAAAGATCCGTCCTAAACTCACTTCATGAAAATTATTTATGCTACGCTGAAATAACATGTAAGTCTATTGAAATTACGTAAAGTGTCCTAATACTTTTTGCACGGGTCTATGGCTGGAATATTTTTGAGTGCTGCGTTAAACAACAAACAAACAATACATGCTTAATAATGCTTAATTAATACATGCTTGTGAAAGAAGAGCAGGACTATAAGAAGTACTCACCACTAAGATCAACAGGCATGGCGCTGAAAAACCCACCTAGGTTAAGTGCAATAGCTGGTCCGAAGAACGTCACTGTCATTATGATTCCTGCAAGATCATAGACGATAAAATTCATAACTGTGAATGTTGTCTGAAGTTGGTTTGAACACCATTGGTTTGCTGAAGTGTTTCTTTTCACGTTTTCAGTTTCAGAAATCGTAATCACACCACCTTGTCACTTGATTGTCTGGTCATGACTGTTTCCATGCCGACCTTGTATGGGATGTGTCTTGTTGCTATTATATAAATTGTATAAGTAGTGGATGTTAACAGTAGAGTAGGAGCCAGTGGAAATATAAACAAGATGAAGATTTCTTTTGTGTTCTTTACTATCAATAAGATCGTGGTTCTAAATGGAAAGTGAGTAAGATTTTCCTTCATTCTTCAACTTTACATATGCCTGACACTCTTATATGTTAAATACTCATATATCGTCATTGTCTTCAACATCGAAACACATACCTGCCAGTAAACTTGACTGTTGTTTGTCACGGGAGTTATTGTCGAGGTACGGAAAACCCAGGGCAAACCGTGGGGATTTACCCACTCCTAGTAACACCATAAGCACGGCAAGCACACTGTACACCCAACGACCGTTGTCAGTGGCTTGGTCCTTCGTGGCTGGACATCTCTCCTGTTCCTGCACGGAATCCTGACACAATCTGGCACCTTGTGGAGAGGAATAGTTGGAGGAAAGATCATCTAAAGAAGGCAGCGATACAGGATCCATGAAGTGTAACATACCACACATTAAACTAGCAATACCATACAAAGCCATTGCAACGGACAGGATCCTAGGTATACAACGCTTTCCCCCAAAATGGCTGAAGAAGAAAATAGCTGCAAGATAACCGATTTCGTTGCAGCTCAGAAGGAGGCCACTTTTTGTACTGCTGAGTCCAAACTGTTTCTCTAGTGATGTGATCTGTGATGTTGTGTAGGACTTGACTGACTCCAGCAACAGTGCCGACACACTGAAGACAGCAGTAAACCAGAGGATGTTGTTGAAACACCGTCGTCGACATCCTCCAGACTCAGCCATGGCGTTAATACTCACGTCGGTGTGTGCCATCTTGAACATCGATTTCCTGATTGACAGATGAAAGGACATGTACTGTACGAAATCATATTTGAAAACAGACAAATCAACAATACAATTTCGTTTGGTATGGACTTAGCGATACCAGAGCAAATAACTCAGCTTTCACCAAATGACTATCTTCTTGTCGGATGGCATGTTTTGTGTCACACAAACAATTCAGGTTGAATGCAGGTTAACCCCAGTCGGCTATAATGACCTGTAAAAAATCGCTTATCGCAAGAAAGCCCCTTCGTCTTGTAACAGAGTGACCGGTGATCAGTCATCAGTTCTTAATTGAAAACAAAACTGCTCGATTCTGCAGGGGATGAACTTCTTGAATTAGCCACACATAGGTACAGGTATACTTATACTACATACAACGATATAATACTCCTACATACCCCTCATACAACGATATCCCGCGTTATCAACTGTGTCCAGTGGGCGGCACACAAGTCCTTGTTAGATCGGCGCAAACCTAATTATGTTACAGAACACAGTGGATGCCTTGACAAGAACAACCACAAGTTTTGGACTCTGCCCGAAGTTTGTCTTGAATCTAGGCATTCTGCATCTTGTCTCGAACTTGCATTCCAAGAGGTGTAGGCCTGATCTTCCACAAGATGCCCAATAACTCCCACCTCCCCCTCCCCTGTAACTTGACCGATCCATCATCAATTACCTTGCCACGTTGCAAATGAAGAGTATTACATTTGCCGAGTCCAAATGTCATGCCAATATCATTAGAAAAGGACTCGACAAGGAGAACCTGTTCTTTCAAATTGGTATCTCCTTTGGCAAGGAGCTCGATGTCATCCATGAAAAGGAGATGAGTAAGAGGTGTTGGGGATCTATGCTGAGGAGGTCCGTGATGATAACCCTCCTCTTTATTGAGCGGAAAGCTCAAAGGATTTAAAGACAAACAAAAAAGCAAAGGACTAAAGGAAACCCCTGGAATATCCCCTTCTTATTGGAATAGATTCCGAAGTCGGCACCTGCCCTTGCGAGTACATCTCAAGTCGACCACCAGCAACTCATTAAAGACTTGAGTAAATCGAGTAGTCGGGTCAGGGATGTCAATACGATGAATAGACTTCAGAATACATTCAGGAGGGACAGAGTCATATGCTTTTTGTAGTCAATTCGACACATAAACAGGTTGCGGTGATATGTTTTAGCCTCTTCCAAAATCATTCTTAGTGCAAGACGTTGATCCTTGCACCACCAACATCCCTTCCCTGCTCCCTTCTGCTATCTATACCTTATATCAGTGGAAGAGCAGTAAGATAACACGAGGTTTGCCAAAATACTAGTAGTTCATATTTGTATTCAAACATGTGATGGGGCGGATGTTTTTGGGATCAGTCAAGCATCCTTTCTTGGGAAGCAGTATTGTGCGATCTTTGCAGAACCATGGAGAAACATCACCGGTATCCACGACAGAATTGAAACAGAAAAGTAAAAATTATGGTGTTTGGACTCAGGGAAACAGTTTCCAATATTGGTTTCGAATGCCACCAGGCCCAGAAACTGTATTAGATTTGGACTTTTTGATGACACTTTTCAGGCAATCTGGTGAGATGAAACAAACGATCCAGTTATTTTCTCATGTATCGCATGGACCCTTGGTGATCATGGACCCATGGTGCCTCAATGTTACAGTCACCGGGTACAGACCACAACTGTTTCCAGAACCTTTCATTTACATCCACGGGATGCCGTTTCTCATGTTTCTTTCTTTTAGTCCAAACCTTTATTTTTGCCTTAAAGGAATCAACAATTTGGAGAAGTATCTTTTCCTTCGGTGTTTTGTATTTCAGTGTTAATTTTCTCAATATTGCCTTTTGTCCCTTTGACATTGGGTTCCCTGGTGATCTGCACAGATCAATCCAGGAAATGTATTTTCTAGTTTCGATTAGTTTGACTTGAAACCAGGTTTTCTTTGGTGTTTTATCCTGAGCATTAGATGTTTTTTCTTTGGAAAGTGTGTGACGTTCCTCCAAACTTCGAGCGTCAGCATAGACACAACAATTAACTTCATGTACTGAACAGCCCGCAGAAAGTTTCATTGAAAATAATTTAATTTAATAAACTAATTTCATGTTTGGGAAAAGATTCATTTGTTTGTTTAATTGGCCTACGTTTTTCGAAAGGTATATCAGATATCTCATCATAATTTATATAAATAAAATATATTTTATATAAACAGCGTTTTCAGAGGAAGAAGAAGAGTGAGGGTAAGAAATTTCCATCAGAAGTCTTGGGTCTGCTTCCACTTCAGCATGCTGCTCATGCAAAGGTTCCTAACGGGCACCAATTGTCGGTTCAGCTGGCTCACGACGCATGTGACTTTTAAGACGTTGGTGTTGGTCTCGGAGATTAAATGCTCCGTCAGGTAAGGAAACATTGGTATGACTTTTTCACAATGCAGCTTCAGCGACTTGCCATTGATGAGTTGATTATCAGACCATCCTGTCGCTTTCGCATACTCAAGTAGTGTGGATTTTAGATGGTTTGACAAAGATTTGCTCGGTCACCTTCTGTGCCTTCCCTGGGCAAGTCCCAGTATGGTTGGTTTCATTACCGGAGAAAGCCTGACTGGGTTGCGGAAGTGAAAGAAAGGTTTCCTCTTGTCTGTCAGAATTATTGTATTAAGGTGAGTATGATATTATATTTCCGTGCTGATGTATTAGCTTTTCAAAGTGTGCTTGTAAAATTCTTACTTGTAAAATTCAAGACATACAGTTACACACATGTGTTCATTAATACCCTTTTCAATGTCGAACGATTGGTAAAATCAACTCACTGAACAGAGATAATGCAGCAATCATGTGACGTGCTTTATTGTGTTTTGTATTATATAAGTAATCATAGCACAGAATATAAATGAAAAAACAATTCTCTTAATGACACAAGATCAAAGTGGCGGTGGGTTAGCCTAATGGTTAATGCGTCCGCATGCGTCGATTCTTCATACGGTTACAATGTGTGAAGTGATATAGCTGGAATTTTGTGAAAAGCGATACTCACTCACTCACGTCATTGTGCCATACGTATTGTGTACATCTTATTAATCTTTACAATGACAGAGCTAAATTGAAATTTTCAAATATATACACTAAACGCAAGTGTTGAGTGTAGAATATTTAATCTATCAGTGACATGTTAGTCAGTGCAAGCCAACAGACTCCGTCGTTGGGAGGTAGTACCCAGTAGAAATACATGTACGTAGTAAATTGACATTGACACCGCCTTTGATGTATCGTGTGTACGGGTCTTTACCACCTGTGATCTGGCAATGGGGATAGCTTATTGTTCGTGAGATTCATGGATTGTTTGTTGCACAGGGGTTCGAATCACTGTTTGGACAATAATTTTTAAGAATGCAAATCTAGACTTTTAAAGTTAAATATTATTTTTATATATTATGATTAACATATATTTCCAATTTGAACGAAATCGGTGAAGAAATGAATATTTTAGAAAATTCTACAGCTACACTCGTTACATAAAATACACAAGGGATGACACTCGCGACCTGATCGTGAACCGGACAGCCCGCCTATTTGGGTTGTAGTCAAAAGGGCCAAAGGACAAAAGGGCCAAAATTGAAAAGGTCCAAAATTGAAAAGGTCAAAAAGGCCACAGATTTAGGTCAAAAGGGCCACAGATTTAAGTCAAAAGGGCTATAGATCAAATTCAAAGAACATATTAACTAATATTATATTTGTATCACTATGTAGTAATAATAATACTAATATATAGCGTGATCATCATTCATGTGTTGATATGAGATCAAATATTCGGAAGTTCAAATGTTCATAATTCACACATCTTTAAAGTTCACTACAGACATCAGTACTCGACTGTAAAGTCTCCAATCGTAAAATTGCCGGACTGAGACTCGGGCTCAGAGCAGACATGGCAGAGAAAGTGAATTTCCTCCCCGTTCTCGCAAGGATGGAGGTATTCCTCTCTGGTCATGTTTGTGCCACACCATATTTTCGTGGAAATGCGTATAGCAATCGACGGTTATAACGAAATACAATTAGTGAGTGAGTGAGTTGGGTTTTACGCCGCAATATTCCAGCCATATCACATTTGGGGACACCAGAAATAGGATTCACACATTGTACCTACGAGGCGAATGAAACCCGGCCTTTGGCGTGACGTGCAAACGCTATAAACGACTAGGCTACCCCACAGCCCCGTTTAGGATTAGAACTACTGCAACAACATGCAATGAATTTCTTCTAATCTTACTATTTTCTAAAAGTTTGGCCCATTTGACTTAACCTATGGCCCTTTTGACTTTTCCAGTTTTGGCCCTTTTGTTTTTTGGCCCTTTTGACCTGTTCCCGCCTATTTTAACGTGCGGTTCAATCAAAACTTACGTTTTCAACAAAGCCTGTGTTGAGCTATCATGTCATTCTTCTACCTTTCATCTCATTGTATTCAATTTGTCTAACTGCATTTCATATTTGACTACTGACCCTCGAATTAGCACTACCCTCTGCCTTGAACAAACGTCTGGCCTCTCTTCGGTAAACATCGACAGTTTCCGTAGAGTGTTTAGTGACTCGGAAACAGAAAACGGCTCAGCCTGGTTTCCGGGGTCAGCTGCGCTAACGCTTCGAACGACCACATTGATTGAATATAGTAAGCATATTTATTTTAGGAACTTGTTGACAAAAACATCGCCGTTACTTCCATCGTTACAGGGTACGTATGTTTAGAGGACATGTGGTGAAATAACAAGGGAAAGCATTTAGATCCATTTGAATGATGTTAATGACAGTTTTTGTCAATCTGATATTTAACCTCTCTATTTTTTATATGAAAAGCCATTTATTTATGAAGCATTTTTTTTTCTAATGCATAATGAAGAAATAACATTGTTTTTTTTAAACTGTGGGTGTGCTTGTAAAATTGTCTCTCAGTGATATGATACAAAAAAATATATATATTCCTTATCTTGAGTTACTTTGACACATATCATTAGTAAAA